TTCAGTGAGCTGGTAACAGAGCCAGAACTAAACGCTGAGTCTCCTGTTTCCCTGTCCAAGGCACTTTCCATACCCCAGGAGGACCTTTGGGATTTTAAGTACTGGCTTACCACTCCCCTTCCTTTACAAGGATAACTGAGGGTTGGCTCTGTCCATGCTCTTGAGGCACATACGACTGAATAATGAAAGAAATGGCAGGTGAGTCTGTAATTGGGTCACCCTAGATATCTACAGCCAGAAACATGAATAAGGCAAATGGAGGGCCTTGTGTGGAGTGACTAGGGAAGGCTCCAAGGGTGGAGGAGGAGCCAGGCAACGCTCCCTTAACCACCGTCCATGTACAAAACTCTTCCCAGGCAGAGGACGAGGACCATGGGCCAGAGTGAGAGCCCCCATCCCATGCTTCCCAGAGGATGAAAACCCTTCTCCATACCTGGACGCTACAGCTGACCAGCCGGCCAGGCCAGCTCTCTTCTCTGTGTCTGTCCTGTGCTCAACACCGGCATGTCCCACGAGGCTCGCAGTGAACACCGTGGGGCTCCTTCCAGGACTCCCGGGCTCAAGAAGCCGTCGTGCATAAATGGGCACTGTTGTCAGTCTCATGCTGGAGTGACCTTGTCCTCCCCCAGCACTCTTATTTCATTGCATAGCAGGATGAGTCTGCCCCCCTCCCTTCTCTATCTTCTATGCCCAGAACATAGTAGGGGCTCAATAAATGAATGAACAATGATGGCTTCTTCTCTAGTACATTTCAGAAGGCAGAAGTGGCCTGGGCTCTGCACCATGCCCAGCAGTTAGTCACATCAGCAGGCCAGGGGCCTTTCCCAGAATTGCGAAGGGCAACACTAACAGCCCTGGTCCCCACCCTAGAATGGGAAAACAGGTTTGCAACGCAGGTAAGGGCAACAGCCCCAGCCTGAACGCAGACACTCTCCCGACTCAGTCATGATCTCAAGGACCCAAATCCACATGTCTTCTGAGTTGGAGAAGTGGATCCCCGGTCCTTCATCCATTCTCTTGTGGAGGGTAACTGCTGGGCTATGGGGACACGGGCCCTTGGTCATTCCCTGGGCATTCAAACGCGCTCCATTGGAGTGAAACACTCCCCCACCTCAGGGAGCCCCAGCCTGATGGGGAGACCATTGTCCCTGCCCAGTGGTTTATAGGCAGGTGAGACACAGAGGATCCCAGGATGCTTAGAAAGGGGCCTATCAACCAAAGTAAACTCCTAGAGGGCACACTTAGGTAATAAACATCAAGGTGTTGAATGAGTTGGGAGCTCTGTGGATTCAGCAGTAAAGGAGGTTCATCAATTCACTAGGCTACGTAACATTGACCATCTCTGTGTCCCTCTCCAAAAAGAAGGAACTGGGTCATGTTTTAGGGGATCTGATTCTTGGGGGGATAGGGTGGCACTAAGCTATTTAAAAGGAAGGGCAGATGAGCCCTAGCCAGTGTGGCTCAGTTGGTTGATCAGGTAGGTTAAGTTCCAAAAGTCTGCCGCCACCCTCCTCCCCCACGCAACCCCAGCATTCTGGTCTCTCAAGAGGCTCTTTCCAGGGCACATGCCCTGGTTGCAGGCTCGATCCCCAGTAGGGGGTGTGCAGGAGGCAGCCGCTCAATGATTTCCTCTCATCATTGATGTCTCTCCCTCTCTGAAATCAATAGAAAAATATTTTTAAAAAAGGAAGTATATCCCAAAAGGAAACTCCACACCTATTCAAGAGTATGGGGTCCTCCCTGGGAGTGAGGAAAATGTTTGGGAACTAGATAGAGGCCAAGATTGGATGACATTGGGATGTACTAAATGCTACTGAACTGCTCACTTTAAAATGGTTAATTGTATGTTATGTGAATTTCACCTCAATAAAAAAACTCATCACTTAAAAAAAAAAAAAAAAAGCCCCTTCCAGATCAGATCACTCCAGGAAATGTTACATTCTGTCTCTTCCTCATGGAAACCCCAAGAGGGAGGCTTTGAAAAACCATGAAGACAAGGAACATATTGATATCCAACTTCAACTCGGTGTTTCCAAGTATCCCTTTGCCGATAGTACTACTTTGTGTCTAATGGACACACCTCCCGGGATGCTGGAGGCTTTCCCAGCAGAAGCAGGAAAGGGGCTGGAGACTGATCTGGTTGCAGTGAGTCTGCGTGTAGGGGAATGATGAACACTGTTAGATTGAGCCAGCCCAGGGGAAAACCTGAAAGCCAGAATGAGAACTTAATCCAATGAGCAAGGGGAAGCCAGGTTAGTTCTTGAGCAGGAGAGTGACGAGCCATGTCTTGATAGTAGAACAGTCACTTTTCCTGATCCACTTCCGCAAGGAGGCAGCCAAGAATTCCAAGGCCAGGCAGGGGGCTCAGAAGCAATTTGACTGGCAAGCGGAGATGTGCTGAATGAACACAGGGCTGCGGTGGCTCTGAGGGCCATTAAATGGAGTATGAATAGTGCCCCCTGGAGTTACACAGGTGGTGTCCCTTTTCTGGGCACATCTGGCTTCCAATCAGAGGAAAGCAGTAAATGGACTGACAAGGCCAAACCGAGTCCCAGTCTTTTAGTTTGAACAGTCCTCTTCTTTGACTTACCTACTGCTGTTATCAAACCATCCGAAGACCACTAATGGCTTAAACCAGCGTTTCTCGCAATTCTCTAGGTTGGCAGGACTCAGCTGGATGTTTCTGTACCATAAGGTATCAGCAGGGGAGGCTGTGTTCAGCTGGGAGGATGTCATTTGAATTTTTGGTGCTCTTGGCTGCAGCATTCAGTTCTACAAGTGGTCTCTCTTATTTAGTCCCGCACAAAACATTCAGTTCAACTCAAGCTTCCGGTTTGGGAATATGTCAGCTTGTTTCCAAGAGCAAAAGTGGAAGCTACCAAAATATTATTCTGCCACACTTTTTAAAAAAAATGTTTTTATTGATTTCAGAGAGGAAGGGAGAGGGAAACATCCATGATGAGAATCACTGATTGGCTCCCCCCCCCGCCCCCCCCCGGCCCAGGAGCCCGCAACCCAGGCATGTGCCCTTGGCTGGAATGGGACCTGGGACCCTTCAGTTCACAGGCTGATGTTGTATCCACTGAGCCACACCAGATAGGGCTACTCTGCCACATTTAATGAGTCAGAAGTCCAGCCCACACAGGAGATAGGACACACTGGCCATCTCTGGAGGTGATGTGCTGCACCTCCTTTGTCAGATGAGTGTAGGTTTCTAATAACATCGGAACAGAGTAAATATAAAGTGAGCTCTTCCCAGAAACAAATAGCCAGTTAAGATGAATTTCTTGGAATGAACATGGTTTGTCAAGAACAAAGGTGTTTATATCTCACACAGACCATCTGAGGGCAATGGAGCCAAAGTTGTGCAATGGCACAGGTTATTTTCTCCTCTTGGGCACAAATAAACAAACCCCCAAGCCCCAAAGCAGTGGTGGCATGACCTGCATCTATAAGTATTGCACAAGACACAAGATATTTCAGCACCGGGGACACTATTCATCACTAGACAGTCCTGTTTCTTCCTTAGTAACATTTATTGGTATTCGCTGAAGATGCCACAAAGGAAGTAGGCAATTATACTGCCCCCAACACTAGGAAGCAGTCTGAAAGAGGATGTCACACAAATCTATATCAAAAGGTGCTGAGGTCGCCCTACCTGGTTTGGCTCAGTGGATAGAGAGCAAGCCTGTGGACTGAAGGGTCCCGGGTTCGATTCTGGTCTAGGGTACATGCCTGGGTTGTGGGCTTGATCCCCAGTAGGGGGCATGCAGGAGGCAGCCAATCAGTGATTCTATATCATAGATGTTTCTATCTCTTACCCTCTCCCTTCCTCTCTGAAATCAATAAAGATATTTTTTTTAAAAAAAAAAAGGTGCTGAGGTAAAACCAGTGGAGATCCAACTGTCATTGCATGATCCCAATGCATAGCTAAAACGGTTTCTAAAATTCTAGAATTCCTAGCACACATCACATTTAGTTTTCATTAACAAGCAAAACCCCAGTAGTTTTGTACATATGTGCACCTGCGAGGCTGCAGGAAACGAATGTTCAAAGCCAGCGAGCCAGGCCTCTCCTTAGTTGTCATTTTCCCTCACTGAATGGGTTACCTGAGCCTGCACACACCAAGAACTAGCTGTCTTTCAGTTTGTGAAGGCAGGCAGGAGCCGGATCCCTGCTTTCTCAAATCAGAGTACTTTATTTTCTAACTCCCGTCCAGGAATGGACTTCAAGGGCTCAATTTTTCAGCTATACATGAATGTGTGCAGTTTCATTATGTGAATTTTAAAAGACTCAATACTTACATTTTCAAAAGCAAGGATCACTGCCGAGCTGAGGTGCTTGATCTTAGCACCTCATAAACAGTCTCTTTAATGTCATTTGGCTTCTCACGTGCTCTTCAAAGACAGGCAGGCGTGTTTAGGACCACCCTGAAAGTCACTTGGATCCAAAAAGCCACTTCTCACTTGTTTCATATTCCAGGAGGAATGTGTACTGTAAGCAAGCTGTAGTCTATTTTCCTATACTGGCTTTTCATATATAGTTTCAATCTTGACCTTGAACTTCACTTGAGGACATTCCTAACCCCAGCTAGGCCTGCCCAGAACGAAAGGGATAAACCAAAGCTGAGGACAAGTCAAAGCATCGTCCTGCTATATCAAGGGCACACCATGTTTGAAATTAAATGACTATTCCCTGATGAGAAAGAAATGGGAAGCCAGGAACAGAGGCTACCAGACAGCACTGTCAAGTATGGAACTTGGAATCTGAGAAGCAGGGCCCTCATTCCGTTCCTGCATCTCAGCAGCAAGACCTGAGCTGCAATTTTCTCACGTGGAAAAGGGACAGAATACCCACCTTGCAGTGATGTTGTGTGAGGACTAAAGGAAACCACGTAAAGGAAGGGCTTACTGAACAGTTTATTCCTAAATCAGCAGCAGAGCCAGAATGGGCACAGCTTTTACTTCCTGGGTTAGGTCTCTGGCCCCCACCTGCTGCTTACAGAATCAACTAACATCCTTTGTCCAAAAGTTTTCACCAGTTCCATTATTTTTCCTGCAGTGGAAGCCACTAGAAGAAGCATGGGAGCCGGTGGCTAAAGCAAGGAAACCTAACTAGGAGAGGATTGGTCAGGAGCCAGATCCAGCAATAACGCCAGACTTGCTCTTCTAACGAAGGAGCCTAAGCAGCTGAGATTCTTCCGTGCAGATAAAAAAGGAGTCAGAGAGGATAGACGGTTTTCCTACAAGTTGACAAGAAAGTTTAACACTGTTCCTATACTTGTGATTTAAACCAGAGAAATCCTTTTACAGTAGGTCCTCGAATAACACCATTTCGTTCAATGTCATTTTGTTGTAAGTTGACGAGATGTGGCAGGAACTTAACTCTGTTTATGTCAATTAGCTATGGTACAACTGGTTTTGTTAACATCGTTTCACTTAAAGGCGCAGAACCTATTGATAATGTTAAGTGAGAACTTACTGTATCCTTATGTAAAGAAAGGGGGGTGGCAATCAGTAGAGGTTGGGGACCCGGACTGTGCACAAAGCTTCAAGTGCCTTGACCTCTCACCATTCTATTCCCATGGTCAATATTACCTACTTCAATGGTCTCAAAATGTGAAAGCATAATTTCCCTTTGATGCAAATATTTAGAACCGTGAGATTTGGGCACACATCATCCACTAAGAAAAATGTTAAGCGTCATTTTATTTAAGCTTCTCTTTGTGCGACCCTCCACCCCTCATAAGTGGCACACAGGACTCTTAATTTTGCAAAGGAGGACCCTTAGCTGCCCGTAGGGATGGGTTCTCACCACTACTGGCCATGGTGAGCAAAACCACCCCAGCAAATACAAACCCCACCCTCCTCCTTTCCATCATAGAGATAAGTGCCCAACCTCCCTTCCCCTGCACTGGGTAAACGCTGCAGGAAAATAGAGCTACTTTCAGGAATCATGCAACCCGAGAGTCAATGATTAGAGGTGATACAGCTCACTATTGGCTAATGAGCTGGAGATGAGAAGGGAGACACCTCTTCCCACCTTTCCACAAGCATCAATTAATTGTAGCCCATCTATCCTAACTTCCTACTGATTCATTTGCCCTTGAAATCAGAGGAAATGAGCTTAATGAAAAAAATGACTAATACTGACTAGTCCTTGCTACACTACACATACCTATTAGCTGGAACCAAAGTAAGGCCGAGAATTTATTCCACCACCTGGACAAGTTCAGAATAAGCATACCCTCTGCAGATCGGCTGCATCACAGAGAAGAGATATCCCACAGCCACAAACCACACCCCTCGATAGTTTACCGTTAGAGAACACAGACCCCAAGTGCATTTCCTATTAGTAGCAGGTGAGCTGCACCATTTCGTAATAAGACCTCCTGGGTGAAACAGACGTAAGCAGAGAACATGCTTTATTGAGTAGATATAGAACAGCACATTCTACCACATGTGGGGAAGGGTTAGCTTCAATAAAAGGCCTTTACCCTTTAAGAAAACCCCCAGTGAAGTTGCTTTTGGATAAATTTTAACAGTGACACTGAAACTGGCAGGGAGCTGCCACTGAACATGCTTAAAATGAGCTCCCCTCAACCCACAGTGAATATTAAGTAGTGTACAGAGATGACAAGAGAAAGGCACAAATGACCAGAGTCGGGATTGTGGTGAGGGCTCCGTAAGAAGACAGCAGTGTTACAGGCGATCAAGTTGGGAAGGGTGACATGTCACACATCAAAAGCTGCCCCAAAATAGCAGGTTATAATGGGCTAGAGAGAAATTAGAGGGAGCATTTCTTCCTTCACTTAAATACCACCAAAGATAGGAGATCAGAGAAGAGGGGGACGGTGGCGAATCCCAGGAAGGAAATGGAGGAGTTCTTGGATGGGCATAAGCACTTGAGCCTAGAGGAGGGGTGAGGCACTGCTGAAAAGAGAAGCAAACTCTGGCGGGTGGCCATTCTGCCTTGCTGAGTCATGGGTGGAGAGACTTTCAATTAGTTTCCACTTCTCCGGGGATGTTCAGACAGAAATCAGTGCAACTTATGTGAAATAAAGGTGTGCGAGGTCAGACTGGTACTGGTGAAATGGCTTTGCAGTTAATGAACCAGTCCACATGCCGTATGAAAGGGAGAGCGGGAAATTATTTTGGCACCTGCAATCACAATGGGGGCGTGGAGTCAGGAGGGAGGAAAACATTTACTATTGGGCACTTTCTGGTGAGGCAAAAAGCATTCATTCCCTTCCACCAAGACACGGCCCACTGCCCACAGGTGAACTCGACACAGAATCTCCGCCTCTTCCCTCTCTCCCTCTCATTCGCACAGAGGATGTGCTGTTCTCAAGACTAATCCCTGGGGGAAGCTTCAAAAGGATTTGGCTCTGGTCAGCCTGACACTGATCAAAACGAGTCTTTCCATAAAAATGGAGGAAAATATTTAAAGTGAGATGAAACCCAAAAGGAATGGACCCCTCCCAGCACACACGCGCTCAGTGTTACCTCTTCCCCGCCCGTCCAAAACACACGTGTAAGGAATAATTGGAAAGGTCCCGGCAGTGGCAACTATATTTGGAGGTCTGGCGACCAGGCGGCAAGAAGCACTATTACAAGTTTAGAAGACACAACACAACCTCATGGGCTAGAGAGCATGAGGAGAGAACCGGTGACTGGACAGGGACAGGACCAAACAGAACACCTTGGGTCAGTGCTATGAGGGACCTGCGCTCAAGTCTAATATAGATCCCATCCGGGCAACCTCACTGAGGCCGAAACAACAGTTCCTCAGAACCAGCGTCTGCAGTGCACATGGAGGTCGGAGCCAGGACAGTCCTGAGGGGATGGCCTTCCCAAAGGGTACTGTACTTGCCAATCACAAGAGCGACAGAAATGACAGACAGATCCCTAGGGTACGGATTCCTACTGCTGGGGTTCGCTGGCTCAGGTAACAGGTCACTTTAAGTGCCCTTGGGAGGGGTCCATTTTAAACAGCTGGGATCCATGGTTTTATTGGAATTGGATCTCTTGGCCTCTTTGGCTATCCACTCATCAATCAGGTCCTAGAGGAGAAAAATGGGGAAAATTACACACATTAAACTAAAATGGCATGATACATGAATTCCAACATGACTGTTAGCAAAGGAGGACTCACCAAAGGTTTAATAATATACTAAGGTGTAAAAAATTATCTTTAACTTACAAAATGCTTTACTAGCGAATCCATTCTTCCTACTACATACAGCCTTAGTAATAGCTGAAAATCATTATTCATCTTCCCTAACGATAAATATGAGCCAACTAAAAATATTTTAAATGGCCTAGCCTATGTGGCTCAGTGGATAAGCATCAACCTATGAACCAGGGGTCACAGCTCCATTTCCCATCAGGGCACATGCCAAGTTGCAGGTTCGATCCTCAATGGGGGACAAGCAGGAGGCAGCTAAACAATGATTCTCTCTCATCATTGATGTTTCTATCTCTCTCTCCCTCTCCCTTCCTCTCTGAAATCAATAAAAAAATATTTTTTTAAAATTGAAAATGGATTTGAGATAGCTTTCTGGAAGGAATTTAAAACCACTTTCACAAGCCCTGGAGTTTATTCATTCCACTCTACAGATGAGTAATTTTCTCCAATCTAAGAAAATTATTGAATGCTAGAAGTGTTGTACAACATACAGCTGCTTAACTAGTGCCATCCAGATGAGACAGGAGCTACCAAAGCTTCTGATAGGATAAGGTAGGATAAGCCGATGGAGGCATCACTGCACGCTAAAGAAATGAGTCCATATAAAAAGATGCACATAGTCAAACTCCTTCAAGAAGGGAAGGTTACCTTCCCTTAGGATGAGTAAGGCCCCACACTAACAGTGTTAGTGTTAGTCCTCTGCTGTTTAGGCTTCCAGGGACATTTATTAATGTGCAAGCAGTTGATAAAAACTTACCTGTCTCTTTAAAACTAGGTGTTTTCCTTTCCAATACTTGAGCATCTGAAGGGCTTGCAGAGTGCTGACAATGTCCACAGGATTCACAGCTGTCTCCTGGCTAATTTCTGAAACAGAAGATCTATTAAGAACCTGGCCAAAATGCAGACTCCCTGATCCAGTCCCCTCCTAAATCCCTCCCCCTTACAGGATATGCAAATGATCTCCAGATGGTTGGAGCATTTGATACTCAACCCAACCTGCTCAGAAAAAGTTTATGAAGCATTCATTTGACCAGTCCAAGTAACTACGAAAACAGACATTACAGCAAGAAACCCCTCTTGGCCCCTGCAGAAATCAAGTTCAAAGACCCATATTCAGTGGGCCTCCTGTTAGGTCCAGAGAAAACACAGAATGGGGCATTATCTTTGCAGGTTACAAAGCACGAATAGGGCCAAGTGGAGAAGTTAAAATATTCAGTGGAGTTAACATCTTGGGTAACAACCATTCTAGAGTCAAAAACCAACCTTTGATAGAAATCTCTTTGCCTTGGAAATTATGCAGGTAACGAAGCAGCACTTCTTTCCAGTAACTGCGATAGCTTATGAGCCCCAGATCTGAGAGGGGACGTTCTGGGGAGCCAACTTTTTCTTCCACTTTGGAAAGCAAATAACCTGCCAGGGAACAAACACACAGGCTTTTTTTTAGCAATACCATATCCCATCCTAAGAGAAAAGAACAATGTGCCAACATGAAGTCGTATGGAAGTACTCTGCAGTACCAGGCAGAGTTCAGTCAACTTCATTCATTCAGTGGAATACTATATAGCTGTTGTAGAGTACGCTGCCTCTGAATAAGCAAAAGGGGAAGAATGTATATTTGCATTTACTATAATAGACACTGAAAATTCTGAAAGACTAATAGAAACTTTAATAGCAATGGTTATCTGTAGGTGTGAGTTAGGAACAGGATACATAAGAATTGGGATGGGAAGCCATTTCATTACATAGCTTTTATTTTTCACATTTTGAACTTTAATAGATTATCGGAACTATACCTGAAGAGGGCATGAAAGCGCTACTACACTCTTACCTCATACCTTGCCTTGTGCATCTTTCACTTGGAGGTTTATATATTTGCCTATCATATCCTTCAATAAACTGGTAAAAGCCCTGATGAATTTTCCTGAAGATCTAATAGTCCTGAGATTGCCTTCCCTTAATGTAATCCAATTACCTTAAAAAGATTTTCAGTGAGAAACCTCTAAAGATGAAGAGCTAAGAAAGAAAGTTTCTCAGTCATTCATGCTCTTTCAATGCTATAAAGTCTTTGCAACAAAGTACTAATACATGCTACAACATGGATGAACCTCGAGAACTTATACTACATGAAAGAAGCCACACAGACAAGAGCAGACTATATGCTTCCTTTTACATGAAATGTCCAGAATGGGAAAATTCATGGAGACAAAAAGTAGATTAGTCCATAACACTGTAATAACTATGTATGGTGTCCCATGGGTATTAGACTTCTGAGATAATCATTTCATAATTATATAAATGTCTAATAACTATGCTGTATACCTGAAACTACTATGTCAACTGTAATGGGGAAAAATTTAAAGTATTTTTAAAAAGGTTAGCCCTGGCTGGCGGCTCAGTTGGTTGGAGTATCATCCCACAGCAAAGACTGCAGGTTCGATTCCCAGTCAGGTCACATACCTAGGTTGCAGGTTTGACCCCTGGTTGGGGCATGTATAGGAGGCAACCAATTGATGCCCCCCCCCTTCTCTAAATCACATTTAAAAAACAAAAACAAAACACCCAAAAACAAAACCACATCCTTGGGTGAGGATTTTTAAAAAGTAGATTAGTAGATGCTAAAACTGGTGAGATGGGGAACTGGGAAATCAATCATTGCTAATAAAAAAGATTTTTTTGGAGGGGAAGATGAAAATCTCAACCTGGATTGTGAAGACTATTGCACAACTCTAAATGTAGTAAAAAAAAATCACTGAATTTTACATTTAAAATGGATGAATGTATGGCATGTAAATAACACCTCAGTAAAGTTGCTTTAAAAAAAGATTTTTTCAGTATCACCCACGAAGTAGTTTGGGGGGGGGAAGGGGGGACCCGAATCTCAAGAAGCCTCTATCTAAACATTTACAATTAACACTATAGGACACAGTCAGCAAAATTCAGTCTGGGAAATACTGGAAAATGAACCTGCTTTCTGCAACAACTAAATAGCAAAGAAAAAGAGATGGAGTGGGAACTTTCAGATTAAAAATGTTTTACAAGCCACATCTATCAATTCCAATATATCAAATCTATCTGGATCTGAGTAACAATAAGAACAAAAATCACAATATAAGGATATTTTGAAGACTATAATTTATATTAAGAACTTTTTTGGGTGTTCTTATATGTAAGAGATCTTATCTTTTAGCAATATTAAAATAACTGAGGGTGGGAATATAAGTAAACCAAGATTCGTGCACCGTGGGGTCCCTCGGCCTGTCTTGCACCCTCTCGCTATCTGGGACCCCTTGGGGATGTTGCAGTGCCCGAAGCAGCAGGAGGCCAGGGAGAAGCCCAAACCGGGGCCGGGCGCCTGCTTATCCCAGCCCCCTGTGCCTGCCACCTAGCCAGCAGCGCTTTCTGCTGCAGCGGCTCCCAGCTGTGAGCCTGGTTTCTGGCTGAGTGGCACTCCCCCTGTGGGAGCACAGTGACCACCAGGGGGCAGCTCCTGCATTGAGCATCTGTTCCCTGATGGTCAGTGCACATCATAGCGACAGTTCGATTGGTCGCTTAAGCTTTTATATAGATAGAAGATAGACAGATTATTCTACTTTTGTATATGTTTGAAAATTTCCATAAAAATCATGCTGGTAATAGGTGTTACCCATTAAAGATATGTAATCTCCCCTCCCCCCCAAACCCCCCCCCCCCCCCCCAGAATTCTAATTTGGACTAAAGCATGTGGAATGACAGTGAACGCAGTAAGATACAGTTGATTCTCATTATTCACTGTACTTATGTTCTAAAAAGTCACTGCAAACACTGAATTATAAAATACTGAATCATTGCTCCTAGGAAAATAGAATTAGGTTCCTGCAAGCCTCTGGTCACATTTTCATCAACCAATCAATATGTAACCTTTTTATGTATTTCTGTTTAACAACACTTCAACAGATATTGTTGATACAGTAACTTTGAACTTACAGCACAATAACCTATCCCGAATGAAGTGTAATACATATTTCTCTGTAATGTACATCAAAGCCTTTCTAGACAGTATTTCAGCACTATGAAAAATATGACACTAACAGACCCTTGAAAGAACACTTGATTACACCGAGACAGCTGAAACAAGGCACCTGTTTGACCTCAGATAGAAATGTGTGGTGACTTTTTTGCTGCTACACACATACCCACAAATGGCAGCAAAAGTACTGCTGCCAATACTCTGCCAAGAATACTGATTTTGGGGTTACAAATACAGCTCTAGGTAGTAGGCAAATTCCCAAATACAGAAGCCATAATTAATGAGCCCCAAAGCCTCGATCAGGTATACAGGCTGCCTCTAGAAAAGCCCTTACAAAACTGAAATCCCTAACACCCACGAACAGATTTGATGCCTTACGCATGTATGTGCTGTTCATAAATCCCAAGCTGGGATCATCCTAACAACCTTACTTTATTCTCCTCTAATCTCCTACCAAGCTCAGGGTCCTGTATTCAATGTGTACCAGGCCAACTGATGATATTCAGGTTCTGCCGACTTACTCGTTCACTTAGTACCAGTATACACAGGCCACGCCAGGAATTGTAGGGACCACAGGACAAAAAGACAATATTCACGTGTTCCCTGCCATTCGGAGCTTAGCAGTTTCACTTACTGAAATCAATGAGCATCTTGCCATAGCCCTGCCTCATGTACTGAGGCATAGTAAGGATACAGGATACATTGTAGTTGAGGAATGAATTCTTCTCCTAAAATCAAGAACAGATGAGCAGGTGTCAGCAGACAGATACAAAATAAGGCTGCTTGCAAAATATCTGGCTAACCAGTCCTGGGAGTGGCTGTCCGGCTCACAGCTGTTACACACTCTTTATGATGGCCAAGCCATTAACCCCAGGGTTTCCCCAGCTCGGAGACCTCCAGTCTCTCTTAAGGGGGCTGACTCTGGGCTTTTTATAGTCACAGAGCAGGGCCAAACGGATTAGACTGCAGAGTCAGGCTAGGGCAGCTCCTTCAAAAGCAATTTCTCAAAAGGGGGCTGGTTGCCTACTGAAGAGAGAGATCCCAAACAGTAGTCCCCATTCTGGAAGGAGGTCAAAAACAATCCAATCATATATTGTAGGATCCCATTTATGCAAAATGTCTAGAACAGAGACAGAAGGGCTGGGAGGGGTTGAGTGGAAATAGGGAGTAATGCTTATGGGTACGGGCCTTACCGAGGTAATGAAAATTGCACAACTCTGCGACCACACTGAAGATCACTGTACACTTTAAATGAGTGAATTGTACGGTATGGGAATTGTGTTTTTAATAAATTTGTTATCTTAAAAAGTCATAAACACATTCTGGCTTTGAGTCTTTAGAGGCACTGTGGCATTATCATGGGAAGAACCCAGTTTTTTTTGTGTTTTTGTTTTTTTCCAAAAAATATGGCAAAAGGAATATACTCCTGGTTTCGAGCTAATAACATAGAAGAGGGCAAAGCCAGGAGAGTTGGCTTGACTACAAGTTGTGGGCTTGTGGGTTAGTAGGCAGGGCTCTGGCCAGTAATTAATAGGCATGTCCAACCCTCGAGTCCAGAAATGAATAAACCAGAAGCTTTTAATAAAGAATGGCACATTTTCATTAAACCATCTTTGACATGGATTTTCCTTTTTTTTTTTTTTAAAGGGAAGGGCTGTCATCATTACCCAGAATATGACCTTTTCCTGTCAGTGATTTGCATTCCCAGTGCAAACATCAATCACCCTGCTCAGACCATTAGCTTCTTAATCTCCAGATCCTGCTGACCTTGGAAAAATACCCAATCAGGTGACAGCCAGTGTTGTCCGCTTCTGTCATAACATAGAACAGGAAGGGCTCCACATCATAATATAATGTTTTGTGGTCCAGGAAAAGCTTGGCCAACAGGCACAGGTTTTGGCAATAGATCTGGAAGCAGAAAAACAGAGTTCATGTGTGGGCAAGTGACTCCTGAACTTATCAGATAAAGGCCTAAAATTACAGATCAGACCATTGTAGTTAATGAAGCAGAAAGTGTGTATTTTGGCCAACAGACGAGTTCTATCTTCTTTACAAGGTGAGATGGACACAAAACAAATTCCTTCTGAAACCTGTCAATGTACAACCACCCCCCTTTCTTAGGTCACCACTTTTTACCTTGTTTTTCTTGCCATCCACTTCAAACACGGATATTGAACCTTTGCGATATATCTCATCACCAGGTGGGTGTTTCCACACACACTTGGCCTGCAAGAGAATGGAACGGACATTAGGGAAACCAACTTCCCAGCAAGATTGCTGCTCAGAAGCGAAAAAGAACTACAATTTTAGTCAGCTGAGATGACAAATAGCTGAACACACTTGAGAACATGTAGTAAAACAAGATGTTTTCAGTATAACAATTTAAGGCTTCTAAGTCACTGTAATATATTTAGGATATTTTCTAGCAGTTTGGAGTGTTTTCTGGGTTATATTCTGGCATCGTTTCAATCCAGGAGATTAAAACCATCTACTACATAAAAGCCAGATAAATAAAAATAGCCTTGCTTATTAGAAAATGCCTTGCAACAACAGGAAATCCTTAAGCAGCTTATTTCAAGCAGCTTAGAGTTAAGATCGGAGTGCTTTACTCTCACCTTTACCAATAACTGCTCTGGTTGCCCCAAGTGTCCCCTTTGTTACATAAGGAAGTAGGAGCAAATCCTTCTGTGCAAAAAAAAAAAGGGGGGGGGGAGGCAAGGCAGCTTGCAGCAGGAAGCTGGGGTGGAGGGTGGCCCCCAGCAGCGCCGGCAGGGCACTTGGCCACAAGGGGGCACAAGGTACCCCTTTCCTTACTCTCAATTGTTAACAGATGTAAAGCAGCCAGCCAGCCATTGCTGTAAATCAGGGATTTTCAACCTTTTCCATCTCATGCACACATAAACTAATTACTAAAATTCTGCAGCATGCCAAAAAGTATATTTTTTATCAATCTGACAAAAAAAGGTATAGTTTTGATTGTAATTACCTATCCTTTTTGTTCCAAGGTTACTTTTTAAAAAATATATATTTTGATTTTTTTACAGAGAGGAAGGGAGAGGGATAGAGGGTTAGAAACATCAATGAGAGAGAAACATCGATCAGCTGCTTCTTGCACACCTCCTACTGGGGATGTGCCCGCAACCAAGGTACATGTCCTTGACCGGAATCAAACCCAGGACCCTTCAGTCCGCAGGTCGATGCTCTATCCTTGAAAATCAACCAGTTAGGGCCAAGGTTACTTCTTAAAAAATCAGGCCTACACTTGTTTATAAGAATTTCTGGTTCCAAGAATTAACCAATCAGCTCTAGCTGGTGTGGCTCAATAGGTTGGGCGCTGTCCCATGCACCAAAAGGTTGCCCATTCAATTCTGGTCACATGCCGAGGTTGCTCATATGCTCAGGTTGTGGGCTCAATCCCTCGTTGGGGGTGTTAAGAGCTGATCAATGTTACTCACATTTCTCTCTCTCTCTCTCCCTCCTCTCTCTCTAAAAAAAAGGTATAGTTTTGATTGTAATTACCTATCCTTTTTGTTCCAAGGTTACTTTTTAAAAAATATATATTTTGATTTTTTTACAGAGAGGAGGAGGGAGAGGGATAGAGAGTTAGAAACATCGATGAGAGAGAAACATCGATCAGCCACCTCTGCACACCTCCTACTGGGGATGTGTCTGCAACCAAGGTACATGCCTTTGACCGGAATCGAACCTGGGACCTTTCAGTCACAGGTCCCATGCACCAAAAGGTTGCCCATTCAATTCTGGTCACATGCCGAGGTTGCTCATATGCTCAGGTTGTGGGCTCAATCCCTCGTTGGGGGTGTTAAGAACTGATCAATGTTACTCTCACATTTCTCTCTCTCTCTCCCTCCCTCCTCTCTCTCTAAAAATCAATAAACTATTCTTAAAAAAGAATCAACTAATCAAATGCAAACTTATTATGCAACCTGACCAATAAGATGCAGCTCTATTAGATGACCTACATGTTCAAGACAGGGCATTCACACTGGACAGACGGCTATTGTGTTGCCTGTCTTTTTTGTATTTTACAATCTAAGAGGAAAGATGCCAGTGCTTCTGACTAAATAGTCAATTATTGTATGTTTTAAAAAGTTCTTGCAGCACACCAGTTGAAAATCATTGCTGTAAATAGGTGAATTCTTGAAAGGTTTTATGTAAATACATTTAGAAAGCATATGTACATATCCAGAACATTTTCCATTATATTTTTATTGTGACTTTTGGTCAACTTAAGAATCATGACCTAATTTGTCACATGCAAATCAAAATATTAATTGGAACTGCTTTGAAAAAGTTTCATCTATAGTGTGTCCCTATCACCACCACCCCTTTACTCATGTGGCTTTTCCCAAAAACGGACAAACTAACACAATTAGTTTAGAAACAGAAGCCAAACCGGGCCCAATCAATGATTATGCCTGAAGCAATAGGAATCAGAAGTATGGCTTACTAGGTAAAGTAGGTTTTTATTTCCTGAAATTTGGTTTTTGTAATTCATATAATACAGTAGAGATCCTCAAAAATTCAGAATGTTTACTTGACCTTCAGATTTATCCAGACCCTGTTTTCTCCACCTATTACTAGTTCTTGCCCCCTTTGGCTGTTTTATTGGTTAGTGCCACTAAATAACCAGAAACAAAAAGAAAAAATGGCAAAAATGGTAAGTAGTTCACATCAATAAAAATAGCAGTCTTACTTTCACATAGCAAAACCATACTTTAGTTTATCTCCATGGTCTACACTCATGGAGACCAGTCCTTCTGATACCACCCTCCCCTGTGCCCTAGTGTCCCCACCAGTCTTTGCCCATCACCTCCCCTCCAGCACGCTTTTCTCACCCCAAGTCAAGCGTGCCAGAGTCTGAAGGGCTTCATTCATAGGAGTGGTTTTGGGCCACAATGCTACAGATTGTGTGCTTCAGAGTTAGAAACACACACAAAGAAAGTATCACCAAACTGGGGAGAGGAATGTAAGAACAGAAACCATGGGAAGCCTGGATTATGAAGGTTCACCATATGGAAACCTTGGGAAGTAAAGATGGAAGGGGAAGGAGAGACACCCTAAAAGGCCTAGAGCCAAATTATGTTAGGACAATAGAAACAAGATAAAAGAAAGGTTTCCCTGTCTGAAAGAGTTATCTCTGTCCCTTACCCTTTCCTCAATCCTACTCCATGGCAGAAAGTCCCTTTAAGACTTTAATTCCACAACCAGGGAAAGAAAGGTGGCTTAAAGTGGCAAAATAGCTAATAAGCATATTTGTCAACAATAAAATCAGATTCAAGTCTTTATTCCTAAAAGAAGGATGTTCTGAAACGAAAAAAAGCAATAAACAACTTCAGAAGGCACCAAAGGACCCATTCTGTTAATGAAGTCGATTTTCATCTAATTTGCAATACTTAAAAACTAAGGGCAGAGGTCATCCATCTGCAAAAGAACAATGGAAAAGAGCAAGCAGCAAGAAAAAAAGACAGGGAGGTGTGTATGACAGGATGTGGATAAAGGCCATTGGCTGCTTTAAGTGCTACCCAGCACCAGCCAAGCCACAGGCTGTGTACCACCACCCTAATGTGGCCTTTGATTTCCTATGCCTTCATCCCATTCCTGTGGACCACTGAGAGGTGCTTCGATAATTGTCATTAAGACACATGTCAAAATGTAGAGATCCTATTGCTTACTGCCAACGTGATCATGAAACCCAGACAACTTACCATGTGCCGGCGGAGTATCGTTTGGCTCTTCATGTACTTTAAACAGAATTCACACATATAGAGCCGTCCGAGTCGGGCATATTCTTCAGGATAGGGAGAATGGTACCAAGTATCAAGCTCATAGCGACCGAAAGCTATTGTTTTAATCATGTTGCTCCCCTCTGTGATTTGGCCTTGCAGCCTTAACTTCTCCTATTGTACAGAAGAAACCAAAAGTCAAAGGAGGTTTAGAATTATAGTTCCCCTTTGAACAATATGGAGGGTTAGGGTCACCGACACCCCGCCCCATGCAGTTGAAATGGCGTTTAACTTTTGACTCCGCCAAAACATAAATACTAATAGTATAGTGTTGACCGGAAGTCTTATTGATAACATACAGTCGATAAACACGTTTTTAGTATGTTATATACTGTAGTCTTACAAATGTAAGCTTATAGAAGAGAAAATATTAAGAAAATCATAAGGAAAAGAAAATACATTTTTAGTATTTATTGAAAAACATTCATGTTTAAGTGGACCTGCAGAGTTCAAACCCATGTCAACTGTAATCATCTTTGTTTTTGTAAACTATGTAAACCATCATGCTAAGCTATGAAAAAACACACACACATTTGGCTTCTAAACTCATGAGAAGCTAACTAAAGAGGGCTGGCGACATGGCCAAGGGTAATAGGGAAGGCTTAGTATAGGTCCCAGTGAAGAACAGCTTTTCTCTGCTACTTAGGACACTTAGGGTCTCCTCTCCTGAACATCAGAACAAGTCTCTGGTAAAATTGTGTTCTTACCAGTCTGAACTAAACTGAATTCTAAAAGGCAATCTACCACTAATATAAACCCTCCACCTTTTATAAGACATTCTAAAATTAAACTGAAAAAAATATCTAGAATGTGCTTTACATATTTCCAGCCCTATGTACATCTACGTGACATAAACCCACTCTCTCAACCTAAGTCCTTTAAAAAATGTTTTTTGAAACATGGACAGTGCTTTACTTCTGAAATCTGAAGTCCAGGAAGCAGAAATATGTTTGGATATCTATCTCCACTCAGTGGCTATGAGGTGGCTATAGGATTTTAAAGCAGAACCAGATAGAGCATTGAGAAAGACTGGCCTAGGAATGCCCTGGTTCCAGAGTACACCTAGAGAAAACCAGCAAAGCCACCCATCCCAGCCAAGAGCAGCTAGCAAGCCCTGCCACCTACAAAACTTCCAACAAGCGTATCAGAAGATTTTTAAATGAAGTAGTCAACAAAATGTAAAGAAACAAAAAAGAGAGGGAGAGATTTACTTTACAGAGATCCTCTCAATCCATTTAATTAATCACAATTTTCATAAAGCAAACTTATTGAAAATTCTGCCGACAGTATCAAAACTAAATGTTAACTGTTGATAAAAATCTGAACAGAAAACCAGCTTAATTATAAAACTTGGATTTGTCAAAAGATTAACTCTAAAATGTCTAAAAACAGCCTTTTCCATTATCCCTCTTCAATATTCTTTTTATTCTTTTACAGTTGTATTGAAGGGCTGAGGCACCCCTGAAAAGGGGAGTACCAGTTTAAGAGAACAACAGGGTATCTCCCAGTCCACAGGTTCTCAGAATTGCAAATTACTAGAGGCAAGGGGGGTACCTATTGTTTTGTTCAGCTAACCACCTCCACCAAACAGGTCATCAGGAAATGAGGTGAGGGAGGAGGGGTAATTAATTTTAAATATGAATGGGAAGGCAGACAGTCTCAAGTAAGGATAGCTGGGGGAAGGGGAAAGGGATTCAAGCAGCAAGGTCCATTAATTCCCACCTAACTGATCACTAGTCATTTTTCTTGGGCGAACTGCTCCTCACAAATGGTCCTCAGCTAGAGGCTCACTACTCACCAAGTCCTCTGAAGCCCGGGCTTGTGCTCTTCGGAAAAGGTCTAAGTCATACTCGCTCGTCAGGTTTTCCAAGAGAGGTTCCCGCGTGTTCCCGTAGGTCTGCCTGTGTTCCTAGGAAAACAACCAGAGCGTGAGACTCTCTGCTTCTAAGAACATCATCTACTTCATTTCAATCGATGCCAAGCTATTTTTTCTAATGCCTACCATATGCCAGGCATTACCCTAGGCACCATGGATTTGGCAGACATGCCATTTACCAGGTAGGTTAACGCCAGAAAACACCCATACTCGCCCTGGTGAATCTGGAAAGGAAATGCTCCTATCACCTCTCCATCTCTAAATGAGCACCTCATGGATAAAAATGCTACGCGCCCCCCTCCCCCCCAATTGTCCCTCTGAAGATGTGCACCACAGTATAAATAAGTATAACAAACCCAAAAGCACTACAGATGCCTAGAATCCTGAGATCTGGAAGAAACCCTGGTGGAAACTCCCTCATGTAGAAGAAACACAACAAAAAAACAAATCTCAAAACCTTAGAGTCTGAGATTTTAGACTGAAAGGTAAATTTGCAGGTAGGAAAGGGCAGCTGTATGAAAGTGTTCTGTAAATTCTTTCCCTTGAACTTCTTCGCCATCATTACACTGTCCGCCAAAGGCATTGTCATGTTCTCACTTTAGAACTCCAGCCCAAGTATGTATGAAAAACTAGCTAGCCCCTTTGAAAAATATCTTACTAAATACTAAGCAAGAACAAGAGGAAACAGTCAGAAAATCAGAAACATTAAAATAATCCAGTTTTAAACAAGTATCAAACCTTACCATGGCATTCACTACAAGTATCCTTTCACTGGAAAGACATCCTACAAGAGGAACTTCCCTTTTAAACCTTTGATTCTAGCCCTTCCCACTCCATCCTAGACTCCACCTCCCACCCAGAGAATAGAAGATAATGGCAGTTAGGAGGAGTGAATGGCTCACCCCAAGAAGAACATTACAGATTTCAATTAGCACATGAAGAAACCATTCAACAGTACCTGTATGCCTAGTAAAGTTTCTTTAGGTTAACCTGGGCCTACCTGATGTATATCTTTTTCAATTTGGACTACATCTAAGTATTATTCTAGTTTCATGAACTTTTTTTATTTTTAACTTAAAAAAAATCCTATCCAGCATTTTCACCAGGAAGGTTGGGTCTAAATAACCTCACCCAAACAACTGGAAAGCAGATGTTTGTAAGATGAATTTCAGGAAATTTTACTGCAGGCACTCTTTCTACCTGTATGATTCTTGGCGAATTAGCTCGCTAAACTTGTTTCCCATCTATAAAATAGGTGAAACACCATCCATCTTTGCTACAGATTATGGGAGCAACATAGCCACAGTGCCTAGCACAGGCACTCAATAAATGGCATTATGTGTTACCATACCATTACGCCTCTACCCAATTTGTAGATAAAAACATTGAACACCACAAAGAGAGGAATACAACCTTGCAGGGTCCTTCCTCTACACATCCCACACAGTCTAGTATAAGTGTTTAGCTACAAATTCACCCTACAACCCACAACTCATCTCACATTCGCCCATCTCCATTTATTCATAAGGCCATTTTCAAGACAGTGATGACTACCAAAAAAGTAAATACAGTTTAGCATATTTTTGTCTTAGTGACGGCATGCTGACTGCCTAAGTAATGACAAACCATACTTTTAATAATCTACTCTAAGGACTAAATAAGCAAACATTCCACCTCCATGAAATAATTAAAAAAAAAAAAACGCATCAAAGAAAGACTGAGCGATCACATACCAAAATGTTAACAGTGATTTATATTTTGGAGGGTCATTTTTACTGTAATTTTTCTTCTCTATTTTTTTGGTATTTTCAGGAGTTAAGCATTTGTTAATAGGTTTATAATAAAGTAAATCTTTACTTAAAAATTAAAGTTATGCAAAATGTTTTTAAATTTTTTTTATTGATGGATTGATTTTGGAGCGAGGAAGGAAGAGAGAGAGACAGACACATCAATTTGTTGTTCCACTTATTTATGCATTCATTAGCTGATTCTTGTATGTGCCCTGACAGGGGATCAAACCTGCAACCATGGTGGATTCATCCGGACAACTGATCTCTAACTAACTGAGCTACCCGGCCAGGGTATACAAAAGTTTCTTAAAGAAATTTTAACAATGCCAAAACCGGTTTGGCTCAGTGGATAGAGCGTCGGTCTGCAGACTGAAAGGTCCCAGGTTCGATTCCGGTCAAGGGCATGTACCTGGGTTGCAGGCACATCCCCAGTGGGAGATGTGCAGGAGGCAGCTGATCGATGTTTCTCTCTCATCGATGTTTCTAACTCTCTATCTCTCTCCCTTCCTCTCTGTAAAAAATCAATAAAATATATTTTTTAAAAAAAGAAATTTTAACAAAAATGAGGAAATTAGTTTAAGATATTAAATTAAAAATAGAATTCAAAGCTGTATTTATAGTAATAACCAAATTTTGTAAATAAGGCATTATGTAAAAAGCTAGGCTACATCCCAAAATGCTAACTCTGGTTATTTTTCAGGTAGTAGGATTAATGTTTATTTCTGCATACTTTTCTTAATTGTTCTATATTTCCTACTACAAATGTACATTACTTTTAAAACTAGAAAAAAAAGTTAAAATACTACAAAAAGATTTATAGATTGTATCACCAAATTAATACCTTTTATTATGTAGGAATTTTATTTTTCCATGAAAGTAAGTGGACTACAGCTTGTTTTGAATATTTCCCCTTAAACAGACATCTCCATTATCATGGTATTTGAGAGGGTAAATTTAACCTTTTAAAGCTAAAGTTTACAAACAACTAGAGGACTGAACTATTTTTTTCATCTAAACTCTACCAGTATTTTTTTTTTTTTTTTGGAAGACCTCCGGTTTCCACTCCTAACAGCCAGTTTTGGGGGATTTTAGTAAACTCTAACTGCCAGAAAACAGCCCTTCTACTTAAGAGAATACCAAACAACAAATCTGAAAAACAGAAGCTTAGAAACCAAAAGAAGTTCATGCTAATTAAGTAGTTAACTTTTTCTCACCAAGTATTTCTCTTTCTGTTCTTTGCTCAGCCCGGAATTTCTTTTCTTCCTGAGTTCAGCGACCTTCTCCTTATATCGCAGCTGCCTGTCTGTTGGTGCCTAAAAGGAAGAAGAGGAGAAAATTGGCAAGCTAGGTAGAAAACTTATTGTGTAATTAGTTTCAAAATGAAAGTGACAACAAACTGGGGAGGGGGTGGCGTGGGAATGTCAGATGTGTTACAACCACCATGTTAAAATGATTGGCAATTTTAAAATTCCAAATCGACTGCCCTGTCAGTTAATATGAGGTCAAGAATGTACTTATTTTGATATTAACCCAAACAGAACATAAATGAAGGATGGAAGTCTCCACCAAAGCAAAAGTAGTAAAATAAAGATCATTTCAATTCCAATAAGCATTTATTGAAAGCTTACCACTTTACAAGCACTGACATAAAAATTTAAAAACTGAGTAAGAATAGAGCCAAAGATAAACAAAGAGAAGTGTAGCTACCATTGACAGAGTGCTTATCCCCCAAGCACTGAGGACAGGGACGTTAGATGTATGATTTAGCTGACTACCCTGCTAGGTAGGTATTAGTCACTCCTTTTTATTAACAAGAAAATAAAATGTAGGGAAGTTAGCTGACCTGTCCAAGACCACACTGCTAGAGTAAAAGAATCACAGTATTCAAATCCAGATCTGTTTGGTTCCAAAGCCAAACTTCTCCCTCATCGCCACGCTTCCTCTGCTATCCACCTATAACCTAACCTCAAAAACAGATAGCACATGGTGAGCTATGTATATATAATATGTGACAAGGCCAAACAACATTCTGAGAACATTACAGTGGGAATGCATGAAGAAGAAATGCATTAATGGTAGAAGTTTTGGGAAGAATTTCTACAACAGCTGAGAGTTGTACAAGGCCTTGAAGGGTAAATGCAATTTCTTCTTGGTATAGGAATAAAGAGTTTGGGCAGAAAACCAGCAAGAGTAAAGACCAAGGGCATTCAGGGAGAAACAAGGAATTAAGTGTAATCAGTGGGTATGAATGTTCAGAAAAGCAGAAGGATTAGGGTAAAGCAGCATCTTGGAATTCAAGGGAAGAGAGAATTAGAAGAAAAAACGACATCAGCAACAAATGTCAAATGCTGAGGAAAAGACACTGGTGATCTTGGAAACATTCTAGCAGAGTGGGAGCGTTTGAAGGTAAATTACAATGGGTTAAAAAGTAGATGCAAAATGAGGAAATAGAGCAGCAGGTGTAATCTTTCAAATAACCAGGATTATCTGTTGTTGTTGTTATTATTATTATAAATTGCATGCTTCCTTCATTTATGATGTAGAAGTGTTGGTTTCATGAAAATTTACTATTTGAAAAACAATTATGATTCTGAGTTTGACTAAAGACCAGTTATTTAGACGTAATACCATAGGAAACAAGAGGCATGAGATACCCGAAGACAGTCATGGGCAGAGTGTATCCAAAACTTGGCTCTCAAACTGGGAATGGCCAGAGCTTTAACAAGGCCCATACCTGATGCCTGGTTGCATGCCTGTTGTTGTCATCTTGCCTGTGGGACAGCATCCTTTCTTCTATCTGCTTATCCCGGCTCTGTGCTCTCACCTGCAACCATCAACAACGTCAATAAATCCACCTGCTTCTACAACTGTTTACTTAACGCAAACAATACAAGAACAAATCCCCTGGATTTATGTGGTACTTTTACTTTCAAAGGCTCTTCACATTTATTATCATCAAATCTGTAAGACATAGATAAGGCAAGCTTCCATTCCATTATCTCAGCCATTAACCGAGAATCAGAGAAGTGAAACAATTACAACTAAATCATGATAAAACTAAGAATTTGAAGTTTAACTGATGACTCTGAGCCTGGACACTTTCCACTGTACAATTAAAAAGAAACCGTGCAAGAAAGAGGAAGTGCAAGAACAGAATGAAGAAGTACAGAGAAAATGTTAGATACCTGGGGTCAAGTCTATTAGGAAACTTAACTAAGTTATGTTATCTTAGACAAATCACATCATCTTTCCAATAGTTTCACTTTCATCCTCTGGTAAGTGAGGACTCATATACAACGGCCTCTTCAACTTCAACAGTCAAACTCAGCATGGTCAAAACAGAAGACTGACATTCTCCCACAGATCTGCCCCACCCAAACCTTCCCTACATCAATAAAGAGCAACACTTCCTGAACAAATGATCAGGGCAAAAACTTTAATGTCATCCTTGATTCTTTTTCTCTCACACCTCACATCAAACCCATCAGCAAGTCTATTACTCTGCCTCCCTCCAAAATATATTCGGAATCCAACCAATTTTAACTATCTTCACTGACAGAACAATAGCCAAGGCCACTGCCTACTGCCTCAACTTTGGAGCAGCCTTCCAACTGGTCTACCCTGAGTCAGCTCTTGCCCCCTCCAGTCTATTCTCCACACACTAGCAAGCTGCGATTTTTGAAAAGGGTTTATGAGATTACATCACCCCTTTGACAAAGCCTTCCAGCTGCTTCCCGCAGCCATCAGAATACAAATATACCCCTTGTGCCAAGACCTTCAGGTCTTTTTTTTTTTAATTTTTTTAAAATATATTTTATTGAGTTTTTACAGAGAGGAAAGGAGAGAGATAGAGAGTTAGAAACATCAATGAGAGAGAAACATCGACCGCCCGCCTCCTGAAAACTCCCCACTGGGGATGTGCCCGCAACCCAGGTACATGCCCTTGACCGGCATCGAACCTGGGACCCTTCAGTCCGCAGGCCGACGCTCTATCCACTGAGCCAAACCGGTTTCGGCAGGGCTTTTTTTAACAAAAATATATTTTATTGAATTATTTTACAGAGAGAAAGGGAGAGGAATCGAGAGTTAGAAACATCGATCAGTTGGCTCCTGCACACCCTCCACTGGGGATGTGCCCACAACCAAGGTACATGTCCTTGACCAGAATCGAACCTGGGACCCTTCAGTCCGCTGGCTGACGCTCTATCCACTGAGCCAAACCGGTCAGGGCAGGTCTTTTGATCTGGATCTGGCTTCCTCATTTCCCATCATGCTCCAGTCACAGTGGCCAACTTTTGGTCCCTCAAACCCAACAGTTTGTCTCCACCTCACAACCTTTGTGCTTGCTCATCCTTCTACTTAAGATCTCTCATCCTACATCTTGACACAACTGCTCAGATCAAATGACAACACCTCAAAAAGGTTTTCCTAACGACCCAAGCAAAAGCAGTGCCACACCCCTTCATCACCCCCAAAGCAGTCACTTTCTGAAATGGCTTTAGTCTTTTTGTTTCTTATATTTATCACTTTATTAAATTCTTATTTACTTAGTAATTTATATGTTGATTTGGCTTCGCACCATGAGAATGTAAACTCCTTGAATGCAGTAGCCTTTTATCTCATTCACAGAATCCTTAGATACCAACAACAGTGTTTGGCACATGCAGTCACAGAAATCTAGGACTGAATAAAAATGGTCATATCACTGAGAGCAATCATTTACCAGGACACTTAGAGTAATCATATACATGCAAGTATTTTTAAAATGTTAGAGCTTTGAATAAATGTGAGGAATTAGTCTAATCTTTCCATTTGGGATTCTAAATATAATAAAAATATATGTATCTTTCAGAAATTCTCCTGATCCTCCAAGCACATATTCCAGTGGTAAAGATGGGTTATGCTGAGCCCGATTCCCCTTGAAAGAGGAAAAATTCAAGTAATGCTTTCCTTTCTTAAGAATTTTATTCCACTACTGAAATTTTTATTTTTTAAAAATAAATTGCTAAGGAAGTATGCTCATATTGCTACAGGCCAACAATCTTAAGTTATAGCTTAGGAAGACTTTTATGTAAAACCATTGACAGTATCAGGTCGTTCTGTTTAGAAACAAGACAAGTCTCAAAAAACAGAGATCACAGCTATTTTCAGAGAAAGAAGCACAGAATGCCTTGTCAGCTTTGATGCAGACGCTGGTAGAGCTGCTCCCGTTCTGACCTGGTCTCAGACTAATGGGGAGATAATGGGAAGACCTGCCCCTTACATGTACACAGAGCAGAAGAAACTGCCTTGGTTATACAAGAGAGCTGGAATGAAAAAAACACGTGTCCTCAACCTTAAAGTCCATGTAAGCATTGGCAGTATACTATGTTGCTGAAAGAATGAACACATAAGGAAACTTTCCATACTGTGGTCAACTTGTAAATAAGAGAAAAAATTCCTGAATCAGGAGAAGTAATGTTAGCTGGGGAATCTAATTTTCTCAGGATGAAACTGCCTCAGACAGGAATAAACCTGTGATCCTGAACTTATCAACAAAATAACAACCACAAATCAATACTCTGGTTTAACCAGCTTGGATAACCTGTCCAAATAGTATCCAAGCAAACCATTTCATTAACAATATTCTCAACTCTTGCTTCCCATAGTTAGTCTTCTGGTTCCATCCTTGGTGGCAGCAACCCGCACAGAAACATATAAGATAGGATCTTAGGTTCTACTTCTAAATCAAAGGTTATTTAAGACTACATTTTTCAAGAATTTAAAACAAGAATTAGCCAAGAGTAGATGTGATTGAGAGTAACAAAAAGGAAGACTATTCCACAGAAAGAAAAAAATTATGAAAACTTTTTAAAAGCAAAATGTCTTCATAGATTTACAAGATGAGAACCTAATGCATAAATATTGAGACCATATATTTATGCAAATCAGTACTTAATGAAAAAGGTCCCTAGAAGTCTTTCAATGTTAGGCACAAGGTGGGGCACATGTCTTTCAATGAAAAATAATGCATTAGAAGGTGATGTTGCAAATATTCCATAGATAATCTTCTTGTTAATTTCTTTCAAAGCATTCATTACATACTATAATTAATTATTTTATGTTTAATTAACTATTGTTTTTAAAAACACAGTTGTTTTACATGTTATTTCCTCCACTAGAATTTAAGAGGGAGGACCTTGCCCACTGTCCACACTGGATCTCCACTATTTAGCAAAGTGCCTGGCAAATGGTAAGCACTTGATAAGTACATGTTGAATAAACGAGAACATAATTACCTTGCACTCGTCAGCTGAGAGGTTGTGATAAAGCGGGCATCCTGAGATGGAAAAATGTCTCTCATGTTTTCCTGTAAGATGTCCTGTTAAAGGAGGAGAAAACTTAATTTCAAGATAGAATATTTAAGCTTAGAAAGTGCTGTTTTTCTCCGTAACAAACCTGGTTTTTTGCCATATAATTTTTATCAAATATATGTCTGGTCAAACAGATTGAATCAGACAGACTGAATCCAAAAGAGGTAAGTGCTACTAAGGACCATGAGTTGCACCCACAATAAATTCTTTCCTTCCACAGGTTGAATGTGGCAATATTTGAGGATACTTGTGTATGTTCAATATAAATTGTAATTCCTTCTGTTCTGATGATGTAGTTCTCAAATTGCAAAATGTCATAAAGCCATACACTTATAATAAAGGCACAAAATCACAAGCAGGAATATTCTCTTTTGGCAGAATTTAATTTTCCTATGCTAAACTGATCAAGTCATAAGGTAACAAGTGTAATTCATATTATGCAATTTTATCCTACCTGATGAACTTCTTTCAATAATCAACAGAAACATAAAAAATGAAGAAGGAAATGGCCTTTTCTATTCATATAAGTAAATATATTTGATAGTTCTGGACCAAATTAAATATATTCCTTATTTGGGTGGTGGGACTGGTTTCATTTAAAGATTTAGGCTTCTTCCATAATCAAACTTTTAAACAGGCAGTTTGCACAAGGCCCTCTTATGAGGAGAAAATGTTAGGAATAACAATACAAAGAGGCTCATTTTACCTAAAGGGGCATCTCCTCATTTTCCTATTTTTCATGTGGTGAAAACATACAGGGAATTGAAAATTATTTCCTTTTTAAACATCTCAACCAAAAGTTTATAAAACACCTAAGGTTGAGAGGGATGGTGAGAGAATGCAAGTGCAGAAAAAGACAAATTAGATAAGTTAAATCACTAGTCTATGGATATCTTTACCTTTCTTTCATAAAAAAAGACATTTAATTTTGTGTAAATGAGACACTGGAATTTAAAAAATTATACTTCATGGGGAAAAAAGAAATTAAAAAATTACTTCATGATTTATACAATAAGCTTTAAAGGGCAAAAATAGTCCAAGTTTTCAGGGAGATGGGAATATATGATACACAGACAGTCATTTCTCTGGAACTGTAAAATACTAGTGGCCTGGTGCATGGATTCGTGCACATTGAAAGGAAATTAATTAGAAGAAATATTTTAATATCGCTATTTGCCCTTTCTCTATAATAGAAGTGTCAACCAAATTCCTGATAGACAATGAGATTGAAACACATGCATGCGATTGGCACCAGCGAGAGCTTTATATTTATCGTGCATGTGCAAGTCAACTTTTATTTTTAAACTGCCAGTGTGCATCATATGTAACGGTGGGTTGGACGGTCGGTCAGACGGTCACTTAGCCTTTTATGTATATATATAGATAATTTTTGGAAATCCACACATTTTTATCTTGGGCACAAAAACTAGCCCCAGTGGTCAAACACAGTATATAAAATCTAAAGTATCACTGCTATGGCAAGCCTTTTTAGATATTGTGCATTTATAACTTCTGAGTAAATTATTCATGTTTTACTTTATATGTAAACTAAAACTAATTTAATGTGTCTATATTAAAAATTTTAAAAGGACAGCTGATCTACTGACCTAGCTATTACTATCCAACAGATTTTCTAAAAACACCAAATACACACATACAAGGCTATCCATTACAGTACTAATCAAAATAGGTAAAAATGAAAAATAATCTAAATGTCAATCAACATAGGACAATTTAAGTAATTTATGAACTATCAATACAATGGAATGCTCTGTATCCTCTAAGTGCTAATAATATAAATTACCCAAGATGTCAAACCAACCATTGTGTATTTTCCTTTTTATGAATACCAACACAAAAGAAATATGTGTACATATACGTGTACTTACACTACATGTATAGAAACTAACTAGAAGCACTCATAAAAATTACCAACAGTAGCTTTATATCTGGGACATATGCAGGAAGAATTTTTACTTATGTACTTCAAGCCCTCTTACAGGGTTTTAACTTTTCACAGGCACATAATACTTCCATACCAAAATTTTTTTAAGTTAATGCCATTGCTTTGCCTATGATAAAGAGTAGAACAGGATCAAGAATAATTTTGGAAGCTCAGGTTCATACATTTCAAACTCTGCCAATAAAATAAAACCAAAAGTCAAAATAAACTTTCCTCTGACCCAGCACCTCTATATTTACCCTCTGGTCCACCTCACTAAGGGGGCTAAGCCCTGGGCATAACTAACGCACAATTAGACCCCTACTCTGACTTCATCTCCTCTTCTCCATTCCGGTCACTCTGCCCCAGGCATAATGGCCCTGAAGTGCGCCTCAAATTGCTTAAGCATTCTCCTGCCCCAGACCTGTGGCACTGCGGTTCCCTCTAAGCTTATCACTTATTCCCCTGATACTCATATGGCTCTTTCTCACTTCTTTCAGGTTTCTCCTCAAATGTCAAGGTATCAGAGTGGCTTTCCCTAATCTACTGTGTATGAGCATGCACAAACAATATTCTACCCTCTTTGCACACCATACTATGTATTTTCCTCCATAGCATGTATCTCTAGTTAATGAATATATGTAGCTATCTGGTTTGCCTTTCCTAGGTAGCTACCTCCAAGAGAATTGGGATTTAGACATAGTCACAACTATATCACCAGAACTTTATTTACTTTTAAATATGTTTATTGATTTCAGAGAGGTAGGGGAAGGAAAAGGGAGAGGGGGAGGGAGGGGGAGGGAGAGGGAGAGAAACATCAATGATGAGAGAATCACTGATAGGCTACCTCCTGCAAGCCCCCTTTTGGGAACTGAGCACACAACCAAGGCATGTGCCTTGACCAGGAATTGAACTGTGACTCCAATTCATGGGTCAATACTCAACCACTGAGCCACACTTGCCAGACATCACCAGAACTTTAAAAAGTGTCTGACACATGGCAAATATTCAATAAGTATTTATTGAATGGCTGGTTAAACATCTATAAATAAAAAAGGCTAAGTGACCGACCATCTGTCGGTCCAACCAACCAACTGACCGGTACATGATGTGCACTGGCAATTTAAAAACAAACGTTGACTCGCGCGTGCTTGGTACATATAAAGCTCTTTCTTCTAATTAATTTCCTTTCAATGTGTATGAATCCGTGCACCAGGCCACTACTAGTATATATAAAATAAAAGTACAATTTAGGGATGCATGGACAGTGACTAGCAGATTCCCTTACCCTCTTAAAGTACATTAGCTATCTCTTGCTTGTACTGGGGTTGATATGATGACACCTATTCTTAGTTTTTCATTATTTATCCCAAGGAAATTGATTTAGGCCTGAAACAATTATCTTGAATGATAATTATTACAGCATTCAGAGGAACATTTGCTCTATTTTACGCATTTTTATGGTAATTTTTTTTTTTTTGAGAAACTGCTAAAATCAGGAATATATTCAAATAAATAAAATACTAGGAAAAATGCACTGGTAGCCTGCATAGCAGCGACTTATTCTGGTCTACCTTTTCCCCTGAACCTGGTAGCCACATTCAAAGGCTAAATCTGAGTAATGAAAGGCCCTTATCTCCCAACCAGCACCTTCCAACTCTAGACAAAAGCTTGTCTAACATTTGCACCTAAGCTCACCTAGAGAGTACAAACAAGGTTTAAGCCGTGACAAGAATCCCTCCGTAAGGATTCAAAGTCTGTCAGAAGAAAACAATAAAATATTCTATATGAGAAGAAATATTTACCTAGTTTGTATTTATTAAATACACAAAGCCACAGGACCAAAAACCACTGAAGTCACAAAAGTCCAGAGTTTCATCTGTAGTCTTTTAGTTTAATTGCCTCTTGATAAGTAATCTGTTTTCCTCATTTAACAGCGATGGCCCTATCACCACTATTCTGCACTAGCTTATACTCTATTAATCTTCATTAAGCTTATACCATGTACCATACAATGAGATATTGGAAAATAACTGGTCTTCTGTTTCATTTTTGCTAGAAAAAAGAGAGACTTTTCCCATGGGAAAAGCTCTCAATTTAAACTGAATAGTGCATCACAGTTAATTTCCAGATCTATTATTATGGACAGTAGGCCACGAAGCAGAAATGCTTTTATTCAAGTGGGCAATTCATTGTGACTCTGAGCATGTGGTCACTGAAGAGCCTAAGAAGCTAGATCACAACGGAACATTAAACATTTCTGGGTGATTCTAATTCTGGAGGGAGAGAGAACCACAGAACACAGGGTGTCATGAAGTTGGGGCACACTTACCTAGAGAGTTACAGCCTGGTGTAGGACACTTCATGTTAAAATTATAGCTTTCATGGAAGCGACGGCGCTTGGGGCGATGAGAGAGGTCGCTGCCCGAGTCCTTCAGGGACATGTCCTTGGCAATGCTCTCATCATGAGACACGTTGGGGCTGGAGATATCTATGTCAGACTCAGAAGAAGGTGCATTTCCAGTTGGAGTTCGAGGTGGAGACTCATCATGGTCAGCTGTATTTTTAGTTTCTACAATAAAAGCAATTGGTAGAACTTGTGAAAAGGGTTCATTCAGTTAGAGGTTTGCTATTCAGAAGTGTTTATGGTCTTCCCAGATCTTCTATGATTTGACCGGTACCTTTTAGCTATTTATCTGCTACAAAAGCTAAATGAAGAACAAAAAATGAACATTGTTCCTTTTGTGCAACTTTAAATTCTGATTAAAATTTAAACTTGGAGTTTCCCTAATACATTTTACTTACCTGTGTTTCTCCTAAGCCCTCAATCATGGTTAATCAAAACTGGATGGAAAAACTTTTTAAAAAAACATTACCATCCCACTCTATTTCTAGGAGATACACAGGATGGAAGACAAATGAAAATGTCTTGTCTTTCTGGATGACACTGAACAGACTTGGTGTGAAAGTGTGAATAGACTGACTCTTGAGTTAGCTGTTGGTAATCTAACAATTCCAATTCCAAACTCTAAATCAGGAGTTGCAGCCTTGGCCAATATGGCCAAGTTGGTTGGAGTGTCGTCCAGTGCACCAAAAGGTCACAGGTTCAATTCCTGATCAGGGCACATGTCTGTGTTGCGGGTTCTCTCCCTTCCTCCCTCTCTAAAATCAATAAAGTAAAAAAAGAAAAATGTTAAATCAAGGATTGCAAACCAAATGCCTACAGGGGCTGAGCAAGGCCAAATAGAAAGATGATTGTCCATCTCTCGGGACAACTACCATTCAGCTCCAGCCAATTATTACTGTGGGCGAGGGGCCACCTAGTCTTCCCAGAGCTTTCCAATTTGTAAAAGAAACTAGTAGCCCAGGTATTCAGATACAATTTCTGTATTTTCAAATACTGGCAACACATTTTTTTAAAATGTAAATACTGTGCAAGCAAACCAACCAACCATGTTGGCAGGCTAGAAGCTCACCAGTCTAAAACCTCTGCTCAAAAGTCTCTGATTTGGGCTAGTGAATCACAATCTCGATAGCTTACCATTCCCATTACTAAAGGCACCTCTTCTCAAAAACTCAGAGATAACTGGACTGATAAGCATGGCTGTGAGAAAACCTGGCCCATAAACATGGATGGACCTAGAGGGTATTCTGCTAAGTGAAATAAGTCAGAGAAAAACAAATACCGTATGATTTCACTTATATGTGGATTCTAAAGAACAAAATAAATGAACAAGCAAAACAGAAACAGACTCATAGATACAGAGAACAAACTGAAGGTTACCAGATGGGAGGGGATTGGGGGACTGGGTGAAAAAAGTAATGGGATTAAAAAGTACAAATTGGTAGTTGCACAATAGTCATGGGGATGTAGAATACAACATAGGGAATATAGCCAATTGACAATTTAATAACTATGTATAGCCCTAACCGGTTTGGCTCAGCGGATGGAGCGTCGGCCTGTGGACTCAAGGGTCCCAGGTTCGGTTCCGGTCAAGGGCATGTACCTTGGTTGCGGGCACATCCCCAGTGGGGAGTGTGCAGGAGGCAGCTGATTGATGTTTCTCTCTCGTCAATGTTTCTAACTCTATCCCTCTCCCTTCCTCTCTGTAAAAACCAATAAAATATATTTTTTTAAAATAAATAACTATGTACGGTGCCAGGTAGGTACCAGAATTATCAGGAGGATCACTTTGCAAATTATATAATTGTCTAACTACTGTACTGTACACCTGAAACTAACAAATTAATACTGAATGTCAACTATAATTAAAATTAAAAATTTATTTAAAAAAGAAAAGAAGAAAAAAAAAAAGAAAAGAAAATCTGGTCCAAGCCTTCTTCACCTGTGAGTAAGAGGTACCCAGACCCTTTTGCCTATTGCAGGTCCAATTTCTTAGATCCGGCTACTCTGGACCACAAGAATATTCTAGTACCAAATTGTCCTCAGCAAGACATAAGAGAGGAATCAGGCAAACAGCCTGGATGTAGCTGAGACATCGTCAGTATTAGGCATCTGTGTGCAGTGGCTCCAAGCCTTCCTTATGAAGAAACTGGCCACACCCTCTCTGGAATGGCGTTCCCACTCACCTCTGTCGGAAAAGTCAACCACTTGCTCCGTTTCTGAGCCAGACGAGCGAGTCTGCCGAAGCGGGTATTTCTTCGGAGTCACTGGGGCAGGCTGCTGCTGACTGCGGGTCACTCTCCTGGTAGAATAAACAGGCTCCTCAGCGCCAAAAGACGGCAAATTTCGAACAGGGCTGGAATCTGAAAAGATAATATAACACTTAAAAAAAAACAAGGAAGTCTGTTTCCCATCCACATGATTCATCCTCTTCACATTTCACAAAATCCAACAAATCTTTAAAATATCTATTTTATTAAATAAAACATAAGCAGAAGAGCCTCAATCAGGCACAGAGATGAAATATTGTGTAGAATTAATAGTTTAAGTTCTGGAATCAAGGCTAAACATGATTCAATTCCACTCTTCCATACCAACTAGCTGTGAATCTCTCCAAGCCCGTTTCCTTATCTTTAAAAAGGAAAATACTAGCAGCACACTCTTCATGTTTGTCGTGAGGAATACGTTCGATAACTTATGTAAAGGACTTAACGTGATACTTGGTACACAGATCTAGTGCTTTATATATAATAGCTGCATCCTCTCTTTCTTTCCTTACTCTAACCCACCATAACAGATATCCTATTACTAAGGGTATAACAATATACAAATATTTCCTTTCCTTAGGGGTCTCTTTTTCTCTTCCTAATTACCCTTTCTGAAACCCTGAAGAGAAATAATAGACTCATAAAGGGTAATGCAATAATACAGCTTTTAAAATTGTTTTGGATGACAAAACCTATTCTGAAGCACCCAACAGTCTTTCTACATTTCCAAACTGTGACACTTAAAAAAGGAATAAAAGAAATTCAAACCTGAAATTAAAGCATATTTTAAACAAGGAGAAAATTGAAATTCTCAAATTTTTGTGTCAATTAGCACACAATTGGGTTATCAGTTTGCACAGCGCCAGGGGGCTGCATTTACAATGTAGTCTACATTTTGCGTTAGAGAGGGCCGCCTTCCATAGACTACATTGTGAGTGGTGTCCCCAGAATTCTGTGATCATGAAGTATAGCAACCAGAAAGAGACCCAGAGCTCATGTATTTCTTAGCTGTTTTGAATACTTAAAACTTGTACGTGTCCAGGGCATGGCCAATTAATACTTTCTAAGAACATTATGCCCTTTGCTTTAAATATACTGTTCCTTCTGCCTATGATGACACTTTCTCATCTTTCAACTTGTAAAGTCCTACTAAATCCTTTAAAATGTCCATCTGGGAGTCCTGCCATCATCTGGCTGCTCCATTTCTTGGCTCCCATAGTAATCCATGCAAACTTCTCTGAGTTCTTACCACAATGCATTACAATGATCACTTTACATATCTCTGTCTTGCACTAAACTGAGCAGTCCTTGAGGGCAGAAACTGATTCTTCCATCATGGCATTCCATTCATGATATAGTACCTGAATTACAGTAGCCATTTATCAATATTCCCATTGTGCTAGAAATAAAACTTAAAAATTGAGAAATCAAGAGACAACAGCTATAATTCAGCTGAAATTTTAAATTAAAAAATCAAGTTAGGAACAGGTAAGAGACTATTCCCACTTTCTTGCTTGAAAAACTTATGTTTTTCTCTCATGCTCACACAGCAGTAACCAAATCAGCACTATTTAAGTGCTCAAAGTATATTACATTTCCCCCCTTAATATATTATCACTTACTGATCATGAGCTTTCCGTATTAACTGCAACTTTCTTTCCTCCCCAGAGAATCCCAGAGCAGAGCCAAGAGGGGTCACGGGTACCTTCCCAATCTAAGCTCAGGTGGCCAATTGCACTGGAGAAACTTTTAACACAGAGATTCTCTATACCAATCAGTTGGGTATTTACAACTGATTATTGAGTCAACTATTAATTGTGTATCTAACTATATTATGGAATTAAACATGGTTTTAGAAGTATTGAGCCCCTACCAATTGTCAAGAGACTACTTTAAGACCCTAAGTCTAATCAGTGGTTCTCAATCTTCCTAATGCCGCGACCCTTTAATACAGTTCCTCATGTTGTGATGACCCCCAACCATAAAATTATTTTCGTTGCTACTTCATCACTGTAATTTTGCTACTGTTATGAATCGTAATGTAAATATCTGATATGCAGGATGTATTTTCATTGTTTGCAACCCACAGGTTGAGAACCGCTGGAAACCATTCTAACAGAAAGTGACATGATGACATTCCCATTTTACTGATAGGAAAACTGTAATATAAAAAAGTTAAATGACTCAAGACATTCATGAGCTACACATCCATTATACCAGACATAGTTCGTTTGGATCTAAAAGTGAGACAGCCGCCCCCCAACAGAACCGAACCATTTGGGGATTTTTTTTGGTTAAATTTTTTTTTTATTGTTGACATTATTACAGATGTCTTCCATTTCCCCCTCTTTTCGCACCTCCACCCAGGCCTCCCACAGAACCACAGTTAAAGACCTGATACTTCTGTTGTCATTTGCTCTGTATTCACCAGACTCTGTCATCTACATCAGCCACAGGGCAGTTTCCACATTAACACATGTGGTGACCGTCAGCAGGTTGTGAGGCGTGGCAGGGAGAAGGAAGCCTTTTACCTTGGGAACTCTGGCTCAGCCGGGCTGAGGAGCGGGTGACTCGGGCAGATCTCCGAGACGTGCCATCGCTCTCTGAACTGTCTGTGTGCTCGAGATCTGTAGAAAAATCGGAATCTTCGGTTCCATCTGAACTACTGCCTGCATTCCTCTGTAACACCATAGATCCAGACATTAGCACAGAAGCATTTACTCTGTGGGTTTGTATTAACACTGGAAATAAAACGAACCGTGATGCTGAAAACGCCAAGTTCAAACCTAAGAAAGAATTCAACAGTCAACCTCCCTTTATTTAAAACGTTTAAATGAACAGCCTACAAATAATGCATCCTCATTAAATAAATGAAGAGAATTAATTTTTCCTGTATTAGGATTAATTCTAAAACAAGTCCATGTGGAGGTCAGTATCATAAACTGGAAATAAAAGTATCCAACTCAAAATGGTCTGGCTGACATAATAGCCATGCATTTATATATAAGTCCAAGGCAGTGAGAAAAATGTTAGTGCCTGCCTCCATTTAACTTTAGGGAGTTTTTGTTCAAAGTCTCCATGAACAGCTAACACATTTTTTAAAGCCATACACTAATTCAAAATATCATGGTCAACTCTGATCCTAAGAGAATTTAAGCAGAGAACGAGTAAAATTCTTCTTTCTTATATTATCTACCTTTGAAGCTTCTCCACATGAATAATAAAAGGGCTTAAAAGGGGGGGCAGGTTGCACAAGAAGACTTATAGGCATTCAGAAACAGAGGTTTTATTGTCTTTCAATTACTAATTATTTGTCAATTATTAGCCTCCAAAGGCATAATTAGCCATAAGGATAACTTTCATCAGTTGGGCATTAACACTATACATCTTTTACTAACCCAGAAAGGGAATAGCATTTGCAAAAAAAAAAAAATACAAAGCTTCACACTGCAAGTCCCCTATTCTTTATTCAAAACCCTTAGGGCCACTTGTGTTTAGAATTCATAATTTTTTAGATAAACAGACACTTTATAATATGTAAATAATCACACTAAAGAAGGCATGCAAAAACTGCAAGTAACCTCAGGACCGTTTAGGACAGGTTTTGCCACCAAATAAGTAACAAAGAACAAACTTACATGTTTAAGAGCTCTTTGTATTTGGGGAGACTGTGGACCTATTCCAAGGCATCAATACTATTCCTGCATTTGGTGAGCTTTAACATAAACATCTACCAATGTAGGTCATTTTAGGAGACCTTAGAAAAATGCAAATAATTTATTTGAAAGTTTCTGTGAAGAGAAAAATTTCTGCAGAAATGAGCAAGATACCACCCAGCTTTCCAAATAGTTCAAGGGTAATCTGCTCAGAAATGAGCAGACGCCCCAGAATCACAGTAAATCAACAGGATGGGAAGGGAGGGGGAGACCAAAGGTCATCTAGTCCAGTTACCCATCTAGTCCAGTTATCAGTCATTGAATCACTGATCATCTCTGACCATCCTTTCCTGGCTTGACCTCTTCTCTCTGGCTTTCCCTGATCTACTCCCATCCTACTCCGGAGCAGAATTACTTGCTCCCACACTTGCCTTCCATAACTTTGTCTATATACTTCTAAGTAGAGAACTTACTAGATCCTTCTACAGGTATTTATATGCCTGTTTCCCTGTCCCCCCCCCATCAGATTTTTTAAAGCCAGTGATTATGTTTAATTTTTGAATCCCCAGCAACCAGCACATAGCGACTAGTCAATAAAAATTTGTTGAATTATGCCCTGCGATGTGACTCAGTGGGTCAAGGCTGGATTCCAGGTGGGGTTTGGGGCTAAATCCCCAGTAGGGTTTAGGGCTGGATCCCCAGCAGGAGGCAGCCGATCAATGATTCATCACTGATGTTTCTCTCTTTCCCTTCCTCTCTGAAATCAATAAAAATACATTTTTTTAAAAACTGTTGAATAGATTTGTTCTGTAATGCTGGCACAGCCATCGCCTAATTGAGTCGCTTGGGGCACTCCTTTAGGCCTCTGTTCAGCTGTAAAAAGAAGGGATGGGGGTGATCTCCTAAGTCCCAAGTAATTTAAGGAAGTTTCTGATTTTACGAAATGCATTTTCTAGGCGCTGTCCAACTAAGCTAACACGGAAAAATTACGGCTGGGATGCAATAGGTCACAGTGGGATCCCTTGGGAGTGGGCGCTGGTTCTCTATCACCCCGAGTCTCTGCTTTGTTGTGCCCCCCGCCGGGAAAGGAAGGATGCTCCAAAACCCCGCCTCTCCATTTACAGCATCACGAGGCCCAGAGGGCGGGGATTCGTGCCACCCAATCGTAGTCCCGCTAAGCCGCACCCCCGCGGGACAGACTGCCAACCTCAGCCAATCAAGAGAGGAGGGATCGTTGTCTACAGCCAATCCGAGAGCTGCGGGGCCAGGCTCAGACACCTCCCCCGCACGCGGGGAGGTAACCGTTGGGCCCAAATGGGCGGTGTCACCAGCCAATCAATATGCTTCTAGACGTTTCAGCGACCAATTAACGAGAAGAACGCCTCCGAGCCAGGCAAGCAGAGGGCGGGAATAGTTGCTAGCACAGGCCAAGGCCAGCGTCGGGCCCACATTTTTCTGTAGGATCTGGACGGAAGAGAGGGTTGCGGAGCTAGATTCGGGAGGTCGGGAAGTTGGAACCCAGAGGCTGTCTGTGGAGCGCGACCAACTGCGTCACGCTGCTCAATCGACTTGTCCTTAGACACCCGCCATCCCTCCGGTCCCGTTCCTCTCACCTTCCTTCGCGGCATTGCCGGCGGCTGCGGCCCGACGGTTCCGACTCGGGCAGCGGCGGCAGCAGCGAGAGGAACGGTAGCTCCGGCGGGCTCCGTGGCGGCCTCTGTGGCAGTCCCAATCCTGCGGACGATCCCAAGTGCCTCCTGCTTCACAGCGTCTACAGCCTTCTGCGCAGGCGCCGCGGGCTGGAGCGCTTTTTCCTTCACTTCCGGCTGAGGCTCGCGTCGTCTGACGTGATGGGCCCGATGGGGTCCTGGGAGTTGCGCTGTGTCCGGTGAGGCTCGTGAGCGCCATGTTGGAACTGGGCGCCCAGTGCAAACCGGGGCCAGCCATTTTTACTCGGGGGAATGGCACCCTTTGTGTGCGCGTGGGTAGCCATTCTTGTTTGGGGCAGAAGCCTGACCGTGGAAGGTAATGGTTCTCATCTTTACCTTGGGCAAAATGTCCCTCCCCGGTAGCTCTCATTTCTGAAGTCGGGGAAGGAAACCCCCAGAATTCAGCAGGTTGTTGCTATTTAACCCCTTCTTTGCCTAACGGGCTAAAGGACGTTTCCGTGTAGCCTATAAACTCAAAGCTGATAAGGGATAGTTTGCGCGCACACACAAAAATAATTGTTTAAGAGCCATCCCGTGTCTCAAAGTGGTGGGGATGCAGGCTCCGAAAAAGAAACGAAAGGGCAGCGCCCACCGCCAGGAAGCTCCTTGTCAGGCGAAGGAGACATTGTCCTTGCCTTTAGCGAACAGCAAGTAAGTTAAGTCGTTCAGGTCGCGGGAGGAGGCAGAACCCTTTCCTTCTTCAGAAGCCGTAGCTCCAAAGGATTCCCAGTTTAGCTTTGTGGCGAGCACCCTCTTTCCCCCCTCTCGCCCCCCAATTCTGTATGTGTTCAAAAGGCATGGGCGAGCGGGGGCGGGGGTGCCGCACCAGAATCGGAGAAGCCATGAACCCCACTGTAACCAAGTGACCCCTGCAAATCAGAAGCTTGAGCCAGGAGTTGGGGGAGGGAAGAAGAAGGAACCTTTTTAGTGAAGCTGGAGCTAAAAAAAAAAAAAAATTAAAAAAAAGATGTTTAAATAATAGGACCTGCTTTAAATAATAGGAAGACGTCGAAGAAGGATACAGGGTGGAAGAAGAGCCATAGAGGAGGCTGGGAGGGGAGCGCAGGCGTCCAGGACCGCAGCTTGGCCAAGAGCGACTGGGTGGAGGCGTGGCACCAGCCCAGTCATTCATTTAGGAGCAGGGACCCCGTTTCACCTGAGGCCCGCTAACGGGGAGCTTCCCCCCAGGAGCAGAGCCACAAGGGGACCATCGTACTGATGAGCTGCACAGAGGACTCTGAAGAATTCCGGTTCCTGACCCTTAGCCGCCCTCTCCTCGGGGATACCCGGGGCCGCTATCAGCAAAAAATATCTTAATATTTGATATTTAGCTTTTAGTGTTTAGTGTAAAGACCTCTGAATAACCTACTTAGGTTGAACCGCACATAAAAATGTATACAGAAAGGGGCTCGAGTTTCTCCAAGGATAGCCCTAGCACGTCAGCATTTAATTTCACACGAATTCTGTTATTTTTTGCACTTACTGGTGTGTTTTGAGGTTACTCTTTTTAAAAATATATATATATTTCTTTGTTTTTTTATAGAGAGGAAAGGAGAGGAATAGAGAGTTAGAAACATCAATCAGCTGCCTCCTGTACACCTCCCACTGGGGATGTGCTCACAACCAAGGTACATGCCCTTGGCTGGAATCGAACCCGGGACCCTTCAGTCTGCAGGCCAACGCTCTATCCACTGAGCAAAACCGGTTAGGGCTGAGGTTACTCTTGGTTGTCTGGCTCCCCCAACTAGTGGTCAGGAGCTCTTATGTTAAGAATATAGCTCAAAAAAGGGGGGGGGGGTGCAATTAATCAGTGATGAATAAAAGTTTTAACCAACTCCCCCCCGCCCCCGCCCCAAAAAAGAACATAGCTCAATTCTTTCATACCTTCCTTAGTAGTGCCCAGACCATGCTCCACCCACAGTAAATGCTTTCTAGTCAAGCAGAATGTGTTGACTGTTTTATAGTCTCTGAATGTATAGCCCTCAAAGATGGTGAAGTTAATATTTTAGAATAAGGTCTTATCCAGACTTCACCATTCATCATACAAATACCAGCATTACAAATGTTCAACATTAGTTAATCTCTTACATTGGATTTTTTCAAACACTGCAGCTGACACTAAAAAAGTTTACAATTCCATTTAGACACAGTTCTTGTCCTTGGAAAGTGTAAACTCTGGCAGAAAGATGAAAAAACTAACGCCACGAGGATAGAAATATAATCGTAAGGAAAATGTGTACTTAAGATGAAAGTAGAATAGCGAGGTATATTTAGAATGAGCAAAGAGGGATCCCAAAAGCGTTTTTCTTTCTTCTTTTGAACCAACATGTTTACTTTGAGTGTCATTTTCGTCACGACTCGGTTTGCTCTTGAAGCAGGAACTGATGTTGGTTTCAAAGCCCTTGAACAGTTGCCCTCCTGCCCATCCTCATCTGCCAGACTTCACAAAGGTAGCTCTGCTATTCTTCCTGCCTTGATACATCCAGTCTTCTTTACAATTTCCTTTCTTCAGAAAGTCTTTCCTGATTTAGTATTTCTGAGGTAGTAGGGCATCGTGGTATGTTATTTTGCATTTACTGTGATACTTAGACTCTTCCTTAGACAATTTGAAGGAACACATAACTCCTATTTATTTTGTTCATCAGCTCTCCTGGTGTCTAGTACAGGGCTTTGATGTCATGTCTGGATTTGAATTTTAGCTCTGTCTGCATTGCTCTTGGGTAAGTTTCAAAATTTATCTGTGCCTCAGTTTTCTCACCTGTGAAGTAGACACTCATAGCCGCCTCACAGGGTGGTTGTAAGGATTAAAGGATCACCGCAATGCATCACAATGGTTGTTGTTACTGACATTCATAATTCTAGTCATCCTGGTCGTGGCTGTAACATCGTAATGTTTGTGAATGCATCTTTACGTGGTCTCAGTGGTTGTTTGCTCTTGTCTGTTCACCCTCACTTCTGCTCAAGAGACAGAATGATTACCCAGGCACTATATGCCAGGCACTGAGTCACACCAACATGGAGAAAGCACTGTGTTCCCCCAGGCCAGGAAGGTCATTGTTCCAAAATACTAGTAGGAAAATAGGATGGGCCAAGTTCAGAAGTGGTACAGAAGAGGAATGGAGTGTTTTGTCTCGAGCGTTTAGGAAGGAATTTATAGAACAGGTTAAATAAGAGTGGGATTCCATGGGACAAATAAGTTGGCCAGTGGACAAAGAGAAAAAGGCTTTCCATGCAAACGGAACAGAATGTGTAAAAGTGTAGAGGTATGGAGCAGCCTTGTGTACAGGGTGACTGACGGCATGGTGGAGTAAGGATGGTTGCCTAAACGAGAGCCAGGAGTGGTTGGGGGAACCAGTTCATGCAGAGCCCTGAACACCCTGCTAGGACCTGGACTGCAAGTAATGGGAGATACCTGAAGGACTCTAAGCAGGGAAGTCCCGAGGTCAAATTTGCACTTTAAAGATCTCTGGAAGCTGTGAGGGGGATTGAGCAGAGTGGCAGGGGGACCCAAGGCAGGAAGACTGGTTATAACAACGCTGGAATCATCTCACCCAGAATTGAGGAAGAACTGTACAGGGCAGGGTAGTCTTTTGAGTATGTCCTTGTTCATTTTCTTTCTTATAACTGTATCTTACCTCATCAGCGACATTTGTGAATTCCCTAAAAGGTTCCTCAATTTTCTTTAAAATGTTCCCCTTGCCAGTAAAATGATAGGTACCAGATTTCAAATACAAAGTGTAGTTGTTCGTTGTTTGCTTCAAAGGCCCAAGAGCTCCTGGAGGTTGGGAGCCTTGCCTGGCTGGCCATACTGTCTCTAGCTTCTCCCTTACTGCCTGGCATCTAAAAGAGCTCAGGTAGTGGGGTGGCCACTGCCAGGTGTTGGCTCAGTTAGGAAACAGCCATTCTCTCTCCTCTAAGCCTCTTTTTGAACCAGTGATGTGCCTAGGAGGGGTTAGGAACAGCAGTTTCCTCTGTGCAGATACTAGTAACTGTCCTGTAAGGTGGGGAAGTGTGCCTTGACCCTTTTAGGACAATGTTAGTATAGTCAGGCCAATCTTATAACTTCTGAGGACAAGTGATTGGCCTTGTCTTTATCCCTCTGGGAGAATCTCAGAGGTTGCTAATGTGATCATAATTCATATTAACATTTTTTCACTTTTGAGCTGCCTTAAAAAGTGAGTCAGCACAATCACTAATGGACCTTCGTTGTTTACTCCTGCTGGAGATGGCCTGGAACTTCTCTTACCTGGTTGGACACTTGTTCATTTGGTTTTTGTATCACCCTTACCCACCACCTACTCCCAGCAGGCTCAGGCACAGCTCCCCACCTCTGCAGCTGGGGTTATAAATAACCACCAAAACTAAACAGTCAAATTACCACATTTTAAAAATTGCTAAAAGAAAAAAATCACTGTTCCTGATTCAATAGCAGTTCTCCTCCTCATGCCCTTCATCTCCCCCTCTTCCTCCGCTTATCTACCTCCCTTCCCTGATCCAAGCTCCCTCGGGAAGTCAGTCTGAGCACAAAGCTGTGCTATGATGAAGACATCTTTTTCCATATTTGACAGGGCCAAAGCCCTCCAGGGCTGTAGTTATAGTTACATGATGTTGTTATGGCAGCAGAGGCCTCAGGGCAACATATGTTCCTGGGTGGTAATTGGGTTTGCTTTAACAGACTGTTTCTCTCTAGGTCCTTCATTCCCAAATTCACTTATCAAAAAGACCAGGGAATTGCCATTATGGATGGGCCTTCATTTTTTAATTCCAACAAAACCAAATTTCTCTTTATTCCCCAGGATGGAATGTACCCAGTCATCATGGGTTGAGACTTTTTAGACTTCAGGCATTTTCATTTATTCATTCAAAAATATTTATTAAGCATCTGATAAGTGCTAGGCATTGGGCTGAGAGCCGAGTGCATACTGTGAATAGACAGACATGGTCCTTCCCCTCCCAAACTGACAATTTTAGGACAAAGAATGTATAGGAGGGGCTGCAGGATTTTCACCGGCTCCAGCCCCATCCACCTTTACAAATATTCGAACCGGGTGTAATAACACTAAATAAAATTTTAAGATATTTTTAATTGATTTCAGAGAGTAAGGGAAAGGGAGAGAGAGAAACATCAGTGATGAGAGAATATCTTTGATCAGCTGCCTCCAGCACGCCCCCTACTGGGGATCAAGCCCGCAACCCGGGCATCTGCCCTTGACTGGAATGGAATCCCAGACCCTTCAGTCCACAGGCCAACACTCTATCCACTGAGCCAAATCAGCTAGGGCAACACTAAGTACATTTTTTTTTTTGAGAAAATAAAAGACAGTCGTAATCTCACTGCTATCACAGCGCTATTTTTATTTTTTACATATTGCCTTCCAGTTTTTCTCCACATGCATACATTTTATTACATGTGCATGTTTTTGTATAGATACATTCATTGTTTGCATTAAATTTCATAGTTTTTACACATTCTCAGCATTTCTCATGTTTCTCTAAAAATCTTCATAATTGTCATTGTAATCACTGTGTGACATTACCTTATGGTACTGTGGCATAATGGATTCTCATTCCCCTGTGAGAGGTTATTGATGGTCTTTTATGTCAGATAATGCCGCAGTGAGTATTTGCATACATCTATAGTTCTTATATATTGCTTTCTTTCTTTCCCCAAAGATTTGCCCACATGTAAAGTGTCACCACCATTGTGTAAGGGTGCCAACTGTAAGACATTGTTCCCAGAACTGAGTGTTCCCACTTAATAAAACCTTGCAATTTTAGTAAAAATGAAAACTGCACCTCAAATGTGCTTTTGATTTTGCTTCTAGTTAGGACATACTTCAATCTTCCATGTGTTTATTTACTAGTTTTGTTTCCTCTTCTGTGAAATCCTATTTCTACTGGGGTCTAATGACTTTTAAGTTTGAAAGAGAGAGAGAGAGAATGATGCTTTGTAACATACAGTTACAGTCAGTGTTATTAACAAGGCAGAACATTTGCCTCATGATTATTTCTGTAGTGTTTTCTTCTCACTTTCACTTTGGCTTTCCAGTTACCTGAAGTGGTAAACTCTTTGTCAAATATGTAATCTGTTGAGAAATAGAATGAGATTGTGAACAAAATGTGTAAATGACATGGATGATACAGTGAGGATGCAGGTTATGTCTGATCTCAGCAAGAGTTGAGGGGCCACTTTATTTTTTTATTTTTTAAATATATTTTTACTAGAGTCCCGGTGCACGAAATTTTTGCAGGGGGCAGGGTGGGGGGCGTTCCCCAGCCTGCCCTGTGCCCCCTCACAGTGCAGGAGCCCCACAATAGATCTCCCCAAAGAGGTAGGCCCCACCCACCCATCCGGGGTTCTTCAATGAATTGCCCCAAAGAGGTAGGCCTGAGCTGCTGGGACCCGCCTCCACACTGTGCACACAGTGTCAAGTCCCCGCCCACCCATGTGCGCCCGCTGCACACGCAGCCTCCTGGTGATGGATTATTACAGCATGAGGGCATCATGGCGTGAGGGTGTGATGACCACATTGGCTTTTGTTAGTATAGATTTATTTTTGTTAAATCCTCATTCAAGGATATTTTTTCCATTGATTTTTAGAGAGAGTGGAAGGGAGGGATGGGGAGGGAGAGAAAGAGAGAAAAACATAGATGTGAGAGAAACAAACCAATTGGTTGTCTCCTGCACGCACCCCAACCAGGGCCCAGAAAAATCTGTAATCCTTCTGGCTTAGTTGATACCCTAATGACTGAGCAACACTAGCTGGGCTATTTTTATTGATTTAAGAGAGAGAGGAAGGGAGAGGGAGAGAGAAACATCGATGTGAAAGAGAAACATCAATGTGAGAGAGAAACATTGATCTCAGTAAACTGGATATGTGCCCTGACCAGGAATCAAACCGGCAATTGAACCCATGACACTTTGGTGCACAAGAGGGC